ATATATATATAATATTAAATCACATGTGATTTATTCACGCGCGGTGTCGTAACAAAATGGGTGTCCTCCCTAGGCAAAATCGACATTCCGGACGCGCTGATGCAGTCCGTTTTGTCATCCGGGATCGCTCGGACGACGTCGTCAACAATCGGGCTAGAAACACGTCAAAATTCAAATTTTACAAAATTTCGACCTGCGATCGATCGCTTCAAAGCGATGTGAATCGTGGCGACCGGACGTGTCGACTCTCCGAATTACAAAGTTTGTGCGCGCGGGAGTGCGAATTGTGCAAAAGGTCACCCTAAGGCTCAAAAGGTCTTATAAGGATCCCTTTTGGGTTTCCTCATGTTGGTTCCACTCTTCTAAATGCTAGAAGTCGATACCACACACGCGGAACCGCAAAAGAGTACAGAAGCGGGTTAAATTTTTAAAATGAGGCGGGTCCCATTTCTAAGTTTTTAAGATAGTCGAAGGGAGATCCCTAAGGCTAGATCCTAAACTCTAAGAGGAAGACTAGACCTCACTAAAAATGAGGTCAACAGGTACATCTGCGGGAATATCGGAGTGTCTGCGAGGTGAAAATAGGAGCTGCATTTGTGAACCACTGTAGCATAGTAGGGTTTGGCGGGGTTCTCCCCGACGAGGGCGACGACGTAGGAAAGCCCTGAGGCCATTACCGCGGCCAGTGCCAACAAAGGAGCGGCTTTCTCGCAGACAACGCGGGTGTTGGCATGTGGGCACAGTTGTCGAGCAGAAGCAGAGCCTGTAGGCGCAGCGCAGACGAACACACTGGGTAGCTCTACCGCTAGACGAAGCAGACGACGCGAGAACTCGAGGCACGGCGACACAAGTACAAGCTGACGATGAAGATGACGCGAGTATTTCCTAAAGCCAAAGATGAGGGCGACGCGAGACGCTAGGGTTCGCCATGTGGCGAAACCTTAGCAGAGCGAAACGACGACATGTTCTATATTTGATTGATTTAATTATATATATATATATATATATATATATTGATTTTTGAAAATAATATTTTAATTTTTAAAAAATGAGACTGGATGAATCTCATTCATTTATTAGTTTAAATAAACGAGCACAACACCGCAATCAATATGTCTATCTCAAGGAATAAACACATTACTTAGTAGTGAGACTTGATTAAATAAAATAATGAATTCATGACATCTGTTTTAAACTGCGAACATTTTGTTTTGACCGACAAGTTCCTCTATCTAATATTAAAAATTAAATAGGGTTTATATTACCTGAGTTCTTAAAGCTCCCTATAGAGGCAAACCCCTATAGTTAATTATCTCTCAATTGAATGGAGTCACTTAAGAGAACTCTCGATGATGATCAGAGGTATCTATCTTCGTGAATTCAAAATTTTAATGTTTACAAGGTTTGACATAGAAAAGTCAAGCGAGAAATGATCAAATGGGAACATTTATTTCTGAAATCAAAGGAAAGAAATGTAGGAGATGTCATGGATCCTGAGGAGATCCTCGGTGCCTTCCCAAACTATCATATTGTTTTGCTTCAAGTTTGAGAAGATGTTATTTGATGTTTCATCCTGTCAATTTTATTATTTAGAGTTTATATTTGCATGACACGGTTATACAAATAACCTGGAATATGAGAGTGTTTACGTTGTATCAAATGATGACCTCGGAGCTTAAAGCGAATTAGAGATTAGATTGCACAACATAGATGTGTAAAAGGCCTAAAAGATAATGTGAAAAGGCCTAAAGGTAAATTAAGGATTTATGTCGCGCTATGCAGACTACCTCGAAGTCCTGTGGCTTGTTATTTAAACTAAGGAAATGTTTAGCTGATGTAGACTTGTTTTGTCATCGTAGATCTCCATCCTCCGTCTATTGAGGCTTCGTCGTGTTGCCCACAAAGACTTGGTTCATGTTCCATGTTGTAACAGTTTCAGGTTTGGTATTTTATAGAGATCCACCCTTAGGTAAACCGACTATTATTCTTTATCATGAAGGTCTTGCAATTAATTTAAAGCGTGTATAAATAAGATATGCTATGAGGAAGTGCGGTGAAGGAAAACAGTGTAAAGAACAGTAAAAAAATAATAAAATGTGCGGTAAATAGAAACAGTAAAATGTGCAGTAAAAAAAGTGCTGTAAAAAAAGGTACTGTGAATATAATATAAACATATGTATCTGGCGTGTTTGCTACTACTGCAAATGGGGTTAGTGCAGCAGGTAAACTAGTTCACAGGTAACAGTGGACAAGTATCAAAGAAAATTTAGCTAGCAGGATAAATATGCACGTATATATAAGTCTAATGACAAATCATCTCATAGAAAACTCGAAGAAAACTGCAAGTTACTCACAAAATAAACACGAAGAAAATCGGAAGGAAACACAGGGAAAAGCCGAAGAAAATAACAAGTGAACTATAAAAGACCGAAGCGTGCTATAAGAATTCAAGTTCGGGTGGGCTCAGATTTTAGCATTCCCGGAGAATTCTGAAGGCAACCATCGGTCATCCACATGTATAAAACCCGATATTCAACTAGAAATTTCCGATAAGACAATCATAGGAGTGCAATTTTTAGCCAAGTACAAGTAATTGACAAGTGGACAATCAGACTGTATTATTTAAAGTTTGTGGTTTGTTATGCATATAGACGAAAATAATTTTCTTTTGTTTAGAAATCAAAAATATTTACGTTGTAAAGAAAATATATGTCCAGTCATCGTATTTGTATATTTTGTAAAATAAATCGTCCACGAGTTAATTACAATGTCGGGCTAGGACTTTCAGCAGCCTAAGAAGGCAGGAGTCTTCGCTAGTCTAGTGTCGGTGATAATATTGGCAGCCTGCATTCTCACCATGTCCCTGGGTCAGGTCCCAATGTCGTAGGATGCAGTATTATTTCGCTCTATCACCAGATGCTTTTGTTATCACAACCCTCAAACCCAAAAACCATCCAAATTATAGTTTTGTTTGATGGTTCATATATAACTATGACTATATATGCGCTCTTATGTTTCAAATATAAGCACCTAAATCAAACCAAGAAGCAAGTAAAGAAAAGAAGAAAAATGAGGTGAGAGAGAGGAGGGACTAATCCATCTGAAAGGGCGAAGAAGTGAAGGGTGGATTAACCCTCAAAACCACATTTAAAACAATTTCCAACATCCAGAGATATGAATTTGAAAGGCTCATTTGAAACTTCCAATATTCCAATATTACAAAGTACAACACTTAAAGCCTCTTCTCAAAGTCAATAGAAAGCACCCATGGTTCTCATGTAAAGGCCGAAGAGTAATTTCTCTCATTTCTCTACGATATAGCAACTTTCAACTTAACATTTAAAACGATAGTCAAACGACCTTAAAAATAATTCCAAAAAATCGCAGCCAAACAAGCATCTAAATAGTCCCGAAAAGCCCCGAAACTGCAACCAAACAGGCCGCTAAGAACTTCTAAAAAAAAAGAAAAAAGAAGCACTCAAAACCACAGCAAGGCAGATCACCAAAAACTTCCAAAATCACAGCAAGGCAGGCCACCAAAAACACCCAAAACCACAGCAAGGCAGGCTACCAAAAACACCCAAAACCGCAGCAAGACAGGCCACCAAAAACACCCAAAATCGCAGCCCAAGTAATGGGAAAATCAGCTAACTAATCAGCCCAAAACACAATGTTTAATCCCTCCCAACAGTTAATAAATTGACAGTGAAACAATGCTTCAATTCCCTTCCAAATCGACGATTAATGAAGCTCAAAACGACGCTAAAACAATGTTCTAAGGTCTCCAAAACCGCAGCTACACAAGTAGCAAAACCAACCACAAAAAAGTTCCAAAACCGTAGCTCAAACGAGCCGCAAAAGCTCCAAACACTGCAACAATATATGTAGCAAAATAACTCAAAAAATTCCCGGAATTGCAGCCCAAAATCGCAGCAAAGCTGCTCCAAAAATCAGTCCACAAAACACTCCTAAAGCAGCATTTATACGCCTAATATCCAAATTCCAAGTTTATTGCATTCAAATCCTCCCTAGTTTATCAAAGAATCGCCAATATGGTCATTCATATGTATGTGCAAAGAGGCATATATGCAGCATTAAAATTTAGAAAAGTGTTAGTTATGTAAATATGGTCATTCATCTGTAAGCAGTCCGTTCTGCATCATAATTAGGCCAAATACAATGTGGATCTCAAAAAACATCAATTGGTCCAATTCAGCTATCGATACGAGAGCATCTATTTGACAGCATGTTGTCTTTGTCCTTTTTTATGATATATTTGTATGAATTGTACATTATGCTGTCTTATTTTCTTTTTTTTTTTTTTTTTTTTTTTTTTTTTTTTTTTTTTTTTTTTGGTTTGTAGTGTACTTCAATTTGGTTTTGTATTATGGATTAATACGATGATTCTTCTACTCCTTTTGACATATGACAGAATTTAATGTTGAGAAGGTTAGAAGGTTGCTTAAAAAGTGGAGACCATGCTCCAAAAAATGATTTCTCAGAAGGTTAGCCCTATCACTTTTCTACCTGTTTAAGGATTTATGGAGAAACTTATACTGGACTTGCATTTAAATATTTAGATTGAATCATTAATTGAATGGTTATTTGCGCTGTTATCCCGTGAGAGAATAGGAAAGGTAACTTTCAAGCACTCTTACCTGGTAGTATTAAACTTGGAAAAGTATAGTGTAAGATTGTCTCATAGAATTTATAACGACTCGGTACCATGTAAGTGTAAGAAATGAATATGAGTAGAAGAAATAAAGCTTAATCATGCTTAAAAAATTATGGAATCAATAACTAACAATATTTCACAAATTTTTATGAGTTTGAAATAGCATTTAAAATTTTACTAGTGTATTCTAAAGGTCGTAGATTGAATTAATTAATGTAGAAATATGATCATGCATATACCTGAGATCTTATATTGACGGCTCTCCACCTACTTGCACCTTTTTTTTATTTAACAAGAGTTAATATTTTAAATTATTAACTAAATCACAAATACATTTTGATGTTGGAGCTTCCCGTATGGGACCCTTTTCACGATCCCTGCTACAATCCCGCGATCCCTGCTACAATCCCGCGATCTCTGCTAAAGTCTCGCGACCCTTGCTACAATCCTGCAACCACTCCTGTGTTTGGACCGGGCGCAACAAAACTTGGACGGAATGGACCCTCTTATTTTGGGATTCTGAAGGTCGATTGACCTTTCATACGTGGATTTACTGCCTCCTTGTGTGTAATAACTAAATTTTTAATGAAAGAATAAAAAAATAAAACATTAAATAATAATACTAAATTGAACCGTTAGGATGATTCATTAAGTGAAGTCTAGAGGGGGAGGGCACCTCTCGATCATTCTTCACTCCTAACTATCACAGAACGAACGGAGAACGAGAGAAGAATTGAAGAGGGAAGAAGAATAAAAATTCGAAGTCAAACTAAGCCTTCATTCCCTAGTCGAGCGACTTCACCAGCCTTCGTTTGTGCGGAAAAAGAGGAGGGAGTTGTGTGCACGGCTATGGATTGTTGTGAAAAACGATGGCAATAAAGCGAAAAAATTGAACGAAAAATTCGCAAAACAGAAACAAAGTGAAACACAGATTTACTTGGTTCGTCAAATTGCCTACGCCCACAGAGTTGCAGAGGATTTTATCAGTTCGATTATTACACTTGTTGATCGCCTCGACGATTACAAGAAAGAGTCTTTCTCTCTCTTCTCTCTAACCAAGAGCTCTGATTTCCTTCTTTTCCGCTCATGTATAAACCTTACACCGAAGAAGCTAGGAAGCTACTTGCCGAAGAAGATCGCGAGTAAAACCCTTCGCGATTCGCTGAAGCTCCAAACAACAAGTATCCTCCTCTATATGTGATCAAAGCTTCGACATGATTCTCTTCCTCCAGAATCGCTCGGAACTCCTTCCTTCGAACAAGATGCAAATCCTTATGCTTCTTCCGCAAGCCGAACCGAAGAAGAAGCCACGAACAAGGAATACTGCCCAACGTCACAGCCGAAGAAGCATCCATTTAGGCTGTGTTTGGGGCGGCGGTAGGGTCACAGCGGAAGAAGCATCCATTTAGGCTGTTTTTGGGGCGGCGGTAGGGCAGCGGCGAGGCGGGGTGCCGCTATTATTCACTGTTTGGGGCAGCGGGAGGGGCGGTGCTACGCGGTTTAGGTAAAAAGCGGGCCGCGGGTTCGGCCCCGCTTTCTCGTTCGGTTTTTTCAATTGGTGCCCTTTTTCTCGTTCGCCTCGAGGCCTTCAGCCTTGATCGGTGCGTAGGTACTCAACGCTTGGTCTGATTACCTGCAAGATCAGTTTAGATGGCAGACACGCTGGGAGGAGCTGGAGAGGCTGCGAGATAATCACCCCAAGATCCAAGTTGTCGCCTCTACTTACCCCCAAGCATAAAATCACAGATCAAAATCCGACACTCAACAGTTGAATCTGGCAGCTACTATATGCCATCGATGAGTTGAATTTATTTGCTCGATGACTTTGAGTACATGGAACTTGAGACGAACAGGAGTTGGTTAGATGAATCATGGAGAAAACAAAGGTGTTTTTTACAATCCTTAGCTTTTTATTTATTTATTTATTTATTTTTTTGAAATTGCTTGCAAACTTTGCAACGTCGACGAACATGATTTCAAAATTGATCCCAACTTGGAGAAACTTGAGGAGATTGTGCTGATAAAAGTTTCAGCTGAGGTCAGTACTATCCTTCATCTGAAGGATAGGCTACCTAATTTGAAGTCACTTGCAACTTTTCAAAGAAGTTAAAAATTTGCATTCGCTTTTTTTGACCTGTTAAAGAGGTGATCAATATTTTATTGATATATGTAATGAAATTGTTAACATATTGAGAAGCATTTGTTTGTTCTCTTTACGATTTCCATTTATAAATATGTTATCCAAGGCATTTAAAAATTTGAGGCATCTTCGATACTTAAAACTCACTCGGATGCCAAGATCTCTAAGAAATCTTTATCATTTGTAGTTTAAATCTGTAGAAGAGATTTATCAGAATATGGTTTTGATGATTTCTTACCAAACGAAGTGAGTAATATTTCTAATCTGTGTCAACTAAAATTGCCCCCTAATGCTTTATTTAGTGTATCTGGAATTGGGAAACTAAGGTCTCTTCAAGAGCTGAATGAGTTTAATGTTAAGAATTGGGAATGGTTATAGAATTGGGGGGTTGGAACATATGTGCGAGTTGCACAAATTAAGAATATATTTTTTTGAAAATGTGAAGAATGCTAGAGAGGCTCGCATTGCAAAATTATGTGTGGAGAAAACTCATAGATTTATTCTTGAATTGGGGGCAAAACTGATGATGATGTGAACTTAAACGTGGGATTTAGAAGCTTTCCGAACATTGTCAATTATGACTTAGACATGAATGTACTTGAAATTCTTAAACCATACAAAAATCTGAAGAGATTGTCCATAGTTGCATGCAAGGGTGCAAGGTGTGGAGCAGAAGATGACTGTTATGTCCTTGCTTTGCTGAACTTTTGTTCTGTTTTAAAATGAATTTCTGCTTCTGAAGTATCAATTATGTAGTTGTAACAGTTCTGTTTTAAACAGTTTTACTAAACAGACAGAATAATGATTTTTCCAGAAACAGCTGCCCCACAACTATTTTCACACAGTTGCAACAAATAGAAAACTAGCTTCCCCGCAGCAGCTTCCCTACAACAGCTTTATGGGGCAGCGCAACTGCAGCTGCCCCAAGCAGACCCTTAATCTTGCAAATCTTAGGCCCATTAAGGAATTCCTTAATCGTGAAATTACTGATAGCATGAGATCTGGATTCGAGAAGTAAATAAGGTAGGAACAAATTGGGAGGTTGGAACCGAAAGAGGAAGGTACGGGTGAAGCTTTCAGAGAAACAAAATAAAGAGCCAATTATTATCATATATATTTCATAGATGCACAAATCATTCCTATTTGGATGTAGTGGATTGGGCTCCACATATCTTAATAATTTTCCCACTTGGAGATTGGACACTGGCTGCATCATTCACTGACTGCATGGTCTTTTTCCTCAAACGTGATATTATCCACCTCTACAACTTAAGACTCTTGTTTTCACACTGGAAGGGCAACTGAAGTCGAGCACAACTCCAGTCTTTTCTTTTTCTTGGTCAGCTCTCACTTGCTCGAATTTTCATCTTGTAAGATTTTTTCGTAGTTTTGCGACTCTCTGCCTTATGTCAACAAAATATAATTCAAGGTTGGTGAGTAACACTGTGAAGAATGTCTGTTTCTGACTAATCTGCGAACTGCAATTGTAGGGGCGGACGACTCTGCAGCTGACTGTAGAATAATAGGAATAGGTGCTCCGGACCCACTCTTCTCGTCAGTTCCATCACTATCCTGCATTGTGACATTTGATAGATCAACAAACCTTACTTTTTTACTGCTGTTGTCAATTAATGTGGCATAATAACGAGAGCCTTCAAGAGATGCCACTGGAGAAGGTCCCTGAACATCGGTGTGTACAAGATCCAGTTAATCTGTCTTTAGCGTTCTGTCACTTTTCAAGAAACTGACATTATTCTGCTTCCCCATAATACAACTCGCATTCTGAGATCAGCTGACTTCAGCTCTGGTTGTTTGCCTTCAGGACTGAAGTTCCTTCATGTCCCTCTGACTCATGTGATCAAGCCGGAATAAACCTGTAGTCATGTATAGTGTGTTAGTTTTCTTACCCCGAGCCAGTACTAGTGCCCCTTTTGTAACATTTTAGGAGCTATCTAAGAACACTATTTAATAACCACCCTCATTGAGCTGCCCAACAGAAATGAAGTTTTTTAACTCAGGAATGTGTGACCTTTTACAAAGTTCATTCACTCTTGTTAGGGAGTGCAATATCAATGTCTCTCATCCCCATCACGTTCAGAGCTTCTTCATCAACCAGATATATCTTCCCAAAATCACCTGCAACATAGTTTCGTATTAACTCTCGGTGGGAAGATGCATGAAAAGATGCCCCTAAATTCAGTATCTAGTCATCAACAAAACTGGGAACTGTCAACAATAGTGCATCATGTACTTCTTCAGTTACAACATTAGCGCTATTATTTTTCATCTTCTTTGGATTTTTGCAGTTTTTTTTTATGTGGTCAGCTTTGTCACAATTTCAGCAGGTTAAATTTCTAATCGGACTTTGAATTGCTAGTCTCTGTGCTTTTATTTTGATATTCCTCTGTTTGAGCTCCTGTCCCGTGATCTCCCTCTGGAATCAACATTCAGTGTCGAACTTGAAATCGTGGTCTCGTCAGAATTTTTCCTGCGCACCTCCTTAACCAAAATTAAATCACGAATATCATCTTATTTCAGTTTAGATTTACCTGCCATGGAATTACGCTCATTATTATTTACTTTAATTTTATTTAGTACTTGCTATATTTAGTCATAGTATAAAAAGGGTAATTCCTTAATTATAGAGATTTATGTTTATTCCATAATTATAGGAATTACTTAATTGTAGG